GGGGGGGGGTCCGAAAAAACGTTCCTCTGGAAAACCTTTGAATTTTAAGTTACTTTATGTCAGTATCTGTTCCAAACTCGTTCGAAATTTTTCAAAACACTTGGCTTTGTGAGTTTGTGCCGCTATGCTTCTTTACTTAACTACGACATTTTCATTCAGCTAGGTACACCATCAAATTGATCAAAATGTCAAATGTATAATAATAATGAGAATTGAAGCTATTTCGTTTCAGATATTAAATATACTTAGGGAACTAATTGAAAATAATTTCCCTTTTACCCCGGAATTTGGGCGTCCAAAGGCGTCCATTTTTCGTTCTAGGGGCGTCCCAGGACGCCTGGACGCCCTTCTGGCTTTTCAGACACACTCAGAGTAACATCACAAACATATAAAGAATGATATCTATTTGCTCTGAGGTTCATTGTACTTTTAAACATTTCTTTGTAGTCAACCAATCTGATAAAGTCAAGCAAGATACAAAGTTGTCTACCGTTAAGATGAATGGAACCACTGGAGGTAAATATATCATATATATATATATATACAACCTTAAGAATTCAAGCGACTTCATTGGTCGAGAGCCACACGAAATTACGTCACGTACGCATGATATTTGTAAAACCCCTCAGGAACTGAAGCGGTTTTGAAAATATTGAAATAATTGATACATGGAATTTCTATCCTGTCCATTCATCCATTCCATTTGCAGAAACATTTGAGACAAACTACCTGACATTACGTCATCAGGCTTCGCTCCTAATATGACAACAAACTCCAGAAAGAACTCTTCGCTCTTATTGTTATCATCTGGTTTTAAAAACTTCTGTCTATGTTTACTAGTATCTGCAGAAGTTTTTCTTTTTTTAACACCTGTACTGAGTGAAGAAATTTTGTCTTCTGTGTTCGTTTGCAATTTCGCGTCTTTGTTGTCAGATTTCAGTGTCTCATTATTTTGTGTTTTGCCTTCTGGAGCAGCTCGATGTTTTATAGTTGTATTCGTCAGCAGTTCACCCTTCTCAGAGGCACAATTTAGACAAGTAACAACCCTCGAGTCCTGAACTTTGATTATTTCACCATTGGAGTTTTTGTTTGTTAAAACTAAAGGTAAATTGGTTTCAATCTGTGAGGTCTCATTTGCTGTAGATAAATTTTTCTGACCTGATTCAATAGTTTCTGCATGATCCAACTCTGACATCGTAACAGTTTCAGGACTTTTCATCAAAGTATTATCAGTTAGACAACTTTCAAGTGGCAAGTCTGAAGCATGATTGACCGAAGGTTGTTTACTAGATCTCAGTTTTCCTGCAGCCTCGCGCCGCTTTCTTCTCTGGTTTGCCCAGGTATTGTGTGTTGCATGACAATGCAGTTTCGTAGTTTTCGCTTCTCCTGCGCTTTCCGAGAGAACTTGTATCTAAGTTGAAAAAGAAGTCCGTTGGATGGCGTGGTCAACTTCAGGAATACTGACTCTGACAGAAGCAAAAATAAACTACATCTCTCATTCTATTTATTGGCCACCAAATACACTATTTCTCACTCTGATAACTACAGTTTGACCACCATCTGTTAGTGAGTACGTCCTAATCGTCCTTACTCGCAGCTGAGAGCTAAAAATTATGAAGTACACACGTAAAAATCTCACAACTTGTCAACAAGATGTCTTCGCAACAGGCTTGTAGCAAGCTTGTCAACAAGTTGTAACAATGCTGTTATTTTACCAAGTTGCTACAAGGTTGTCACTCACAACTTGTTGACAAGTTACAGGACGATAACAAGTTGTTGAAACAACTTGTAACAAGTCTGTTGAGCTCAACAACCTTGTAGTAAGTTGCCAACAAGCCGTTTACAAATTGTCGGAACAGCATTGCTACAACTCTGCTGCAGGTTTGTTACAACTTGTGCGTTTTTACGTGTGTAGACTTTCAACCTGATCAAGTCAAAGGCTTTCTAAGGACCTTCACAAGACCTTATAACTCATGTCTACGATGGAAGGGTCCATTATTAAAGGAATAGCGAATGGTTTTCCGTGCAGGATTGCGTGATCCATGCACGAGGGATGTCGCGAGACTCGCCTGCGGCTCGAGTATTTTTACGCTTTCCGAAAGTCGAGCACCATCCCAAGTGCATGGATCACGCTATTCTGCTTGGAAAACCATTTGGTAATTGTTTTATAAAATTACTACAGTGGAACAATGACATTTTGAGAATCCCGCGAAAATCCCGCGAAGGCGCTTTAATTCCTCGTGCAGGATAGCCTGATCCTGCACGGCTATTGACCAATCAAATTGCGTGTTTCACTGTAGTTATTATATAAAGGCTAATCCCAACCCACCCTGTCAATATTCCCTGTGGGAAAAAAACGGAGTACCCGAAGAAAACCCACGACTCACGATAAAGCGTTGTTGACTCACTGTCTCTTTTCACGTGAGTGTCACGTGTCCCTAAGGAGAATCCACCCCACGAGGTTAAACGCACTTGCTCTGATATTTGCGCAAGTGAAAACCCACACACTAGTTAGAAAGATTTCACTAACCTGTAGTTCGTTAAGTATTTCTTTAAATCTTTCCGAAATCCTGGAAATTAACTGGTCAATGTTGGTGATTTCGGAAAATGTTTCATTTGGACAAACTGTATTCGGAGAAAATGACAACTGTAACGGTTTGTTCTTTCGTTTCTTCTTTGGCGGATACTGAAACAACAAAACGTTTCATATGAAAACTTCAAAACAGCCACGTTAATTTTGACCAGAATGAGGTTCAATTCTATACAGGGTGTTTTTCAGAAGCCAAAAACCAAGAATGAAAATTATTTTACCTTCGTTACAACATCGGACAAAAATGTCCATGCCACTCCCCAGCGCATTGTTCGACCCTGGCAGAATTCTGTTGTGATGATATTTGAAATCTAATCAAACAAAAATATGCGTGATTTCCTCGTGTACTAGACCTCTCGAGTTCAGGTTTTCTCCTGTTGTAACACTGAATCAAAAAGAGATGATCCTTACTGGACCTCTAGGGAGAACAGTTCAGAACTGATAGAGCTATCCAATATAAATAAACTAAAAGTTAGTTTAGTTTAGGTTTCCTCCTGTAGTAACACTGGATCAATAAGAGATGATTCTTACTGGACCTCTAGGAAGAACAGTTTAGAACTGATAGAGCTATCCAGTATAAATAAAGTTAGTTTAGTTTAGGTTTCCT